TCTGGAAGGCCAAGGTGGGGCAATTGCTTGAGCCCAGGAGTTCAAGACCAGCCTGGGCAACATAGTGAGACCTCGTCTTTACAAAAAATCAAAAATTAGTCGGGCATAGTGGCGCTCACCTGTAGTGCCAGCTACTCCGGAGGCTGAGGCAGGAGGATCGCTTGAGCCCAGGACATTGAGGCTGCAGTGAGCTATGATCCTGCCACTGCACTCCAGCCTGGGCAACAGAGTGAGAACTCATTTCTTAACAAAAAAATGGAGGTGATGGAAAAAAGAAAATGCAACGAGGAAAAGCGAGGGAAGAAAGGCGGTGAGAGTGGAGAGGTGAGAAAAGGCGAGGCAGAGACAGATGTGGAGAGACAGAACTTGGCACAAAACAGACGGGAGGAGCTGGGAGGACAGAGTCTCTGAGCAGCCACCCTGAAATAGAACCCAGATCTGCCATCGCTCCTGACTTTCTTCAGTCTGGGGCTGTCTGCCTAGTTACAAGGCAGAAGCCACAGCTGTTTTCCTAACAGGTTGCCAGAGTCATTGGTGGTGGCTGCCTCACTGCCGCATTGCAGAACCTCAGAGCCTCTGAGCCCTCTGGCCTGGAGACACCATTGATGCTGGATTTTCTGTAAAATAACACAAAGCTTCCCTCCAAAGCAGCGCCCTTCCCCCTTTGTGGTCCAGCCACAAGGGAACCCGCACCCAACTAGGCAGGAACAGGCTGTAGTTGTCACGGTAACATCCTGTGGACTGACTCCTGCATCCTTTGATGGAACCTTAATGCTACTCACCACCCCCAGCTGAGCACCTGCCATGTGCTTGTGCCAAGATCTTTAAACACACGATGCGATCAATCCTCTAACACACCGTGAGATACAATTACTGATCTCATTTTATGGGGAGAGAAACCAGGCTGCCTAGCTTCAGGGTCCACGTCTTAACCCTTACTCTATGCCGAAAGAAAATGTGGAAACCGCCCACAGAAGCATCGTGTCATGGGAAGGGCCACGGGGTTTGGTTCTGCCACTCATAAGCAGCATGACCTTGGGGAAGTCACTTGTTTGCTCAGTGCTGGTTTCCTCATCTTTAAAACTAGAATAACACCTTTGTAGAGCTGTTGTGAGGATTGAAGGGGATAATATGCACCACTGAGCACAGGCCCTGGCCCAGGCAGTTTTTGGCAAGCCTTCAGTCCCTGGCTGCTCCCCTCCATCCACAGTCCGCACAATAAGAACTAAAGAGATGGGACTCGGGCAGAGGAAGCTTCAGCAGGATGCCAGGCATGGTGCCCAGATGCCCATGAGAGGCAGCCAGCAAGGTGCCCGAGCCCTGTGAGGTATTAGGATTCTGGGCCCTGGATCCCAGGGTGTGGTAACCTCTCCTGCCCCATCAGTCCCTGCCCTGCCTCACTCTCAGCCACCTGCAGGGCCCCCAGGGTGGGGCGGTCAGGGCAGAGCAGGGCAGGACTGAGTGGGAGGCGGCCAGGAGACGTTATCGCTGGCAGCACAGGGCTGGATTCAAAGTTAAGCCGGACCTTCTTATCAGCACCTCGGGTCCCTGTGCTGAAATGTATGGCCCGGTTGGCAGGCATGGGGGCCGAGAGCTAGTCCTGGGTCACTGCCTAAGCCTTTCTCCTGTGGAATAGCCAGGAAGCAGAAATGGGAAGGCAGCCTGGCCACCAGACGCGCAGCCACTGTGTCATCTTAGACAATCACTTCTCCCCTCTGGACCCCGGGGTCATGCTCTGTGAAACTGGGGGTGGAGGGGCAGCTGGATGAAGTGGCCCCTGAGTCCCTTCCTGCTCAAAGGAATTAGGATCCTGTGACCCCTATGTGATGCGACAGACAAGGCCCCAGAGGTGGAACAGAGGAAAGTGACTTCTCCCACAGTGCACTAGTTGGTGGCAGAGCTGAGTGACTGGGCTGGGAGTCCTACTCCACATGCCTTCCAGAAGCCCCATGGAAGAAAGGTCTGGAGATGAGGGGCTGCATCTGGGCTTCTCATTCCAGGGACTAACCCTTCCAGCAGGTTCTGGGAGTGCGTTGGAGACCTCTCAGAGGGGCTCCAGACAGGTGGGCCACCTGGCAGTCCTACAGGCTTGGGGGTCGCTCCTTGGCTCTGGCCCAGGGGAGGGGAGGGTTGGCAAGGGCTTCCTGGGTGTGTGGACAGCAAGCCCCACAACTGATAACACCCCTCCCCTTGTCAGTGGGCCAAGCACTGGGTGGGGTGCATCTGAGAATCAAGTGCAGGTTTGGCCGAAGCGAGGAGGGGTAGAGGCAGAAAGTGGCAGCGGGACTTTGGGGAGATGCCACTCATGCCCCTGACTCCCATCCAGCTCCGTCATTCACATCCAGGCCTGGACCCCTCCTCTCTTGCCTAGGCCAGACCACCCACGGCTCCCAATTGGGAGTGGGCTTGGGGGCCCCATGACCGTGCCGCTCCTGCTGCCTCTCTGCACTGCTGGGCAGCCTGGACCGAGCCGTGCCCTCCTGCACACACGCCGACAGGAGGCGGCGTGCATGGTTCACAGTTCACAGGCACACAACCTGGGCTCAGGGCTCAGGGTTCAGGAGGGCTCCACCCCTCCTTCCCCACCAAGCGCCCCTGATCTTCAGGCTTCCCAGACGGAGGGAGACTGCTTCAACTTCACTTTAATGTGGGTCCTGAGAACTTTAAACGTGGCCCCTGAGGCCATTGACAGCAAGGCCAAATCTGGGCTGGCTTTGTGTATCCCAGTGAGAACCGTGAACCCTCGGCGGCTCAGCCTGTAATCCCACGCCTTTGGGAGGCTGAGGTGAATGGATTGCCTGAGGCTGCGGGTTCGAGACCCGCCTGGGCAGCGAGACCTCATCTCTACAATAAACCAAAAAAATCAGCTGGGTGTGGTAGCGCGTGACTGTAATTCCGGCTACTTGGAAGACTGAGGCGGAAGGATCGCCGGAGCCCAGCAGGTGAGGCCTGCGGTGGCCGGGAGCGGCCACTGCACTCCAGTCTGGGCGACCGAGTGAGACTCCAACTCAAAAAACAAAACAAAAACAAAAACAACCCAAGGGTTTCTGAGCTAAGCAGGAATAAGAGTTGAGAAAAGGCTTGAAACCCAAAGGGGCTTGGGACTGGGGAGACACTGGGACAGGGCAAAGGGGAGTGAGAAAGAGCTGAATCCTTGGAGTTTAAAGAAGGGCTGGCCAGGAGCCTAGAGCCAGAGCAGTGGGTGAGGCTGGCATCCAGACCAGGCCGTCCCAGAGGCCTCCACAGGCCCGTTGGGGGTGGGAGGAAGGAGGGAAGAGCAACCTGGAGGCAGGCTCAATAGTCCAGACCAGGGAGATGTCCCTCATCATAGGACACCCACCTCCCAAGGCTGGGTAGGGAGGGTGGAGGCTGGGCCAACATCCCTCAGAGAATGAGCTCATGTGCCCACACACAAGCACGTGCGAGTGCACACACAGACACACCTCCGTGGGCCTGGGGGTGTTCATCTGAACCTGCCGGTGCCATCCTTTCCTCTCCACCTTCATCCACACCCTGGTTTCAGCTAAATATAAGAGGGGCAGGAAGCAAACTGTGTGGTTTGATGAGAAGTCCCCACCCTGAGAGTCTGGGTAAGGTGGTCTGGTGTGGGGGCCCAGGTAATTCTGAGCAGCTGGTCCTTGATCATATCAGCGGCATTTATTGTTTGCCTATTGTGTACCAGGTGTTTTGCATGAAATATCTCACTTCATCCTCTGACAACCAACCAGGAAGGTGACATTATTCCCAGTCCCAAGGTCACACTCTGGCCACTAGCAGGGTTAGTTTGACATGACCCATCCATGCCCGCAAGAGCCTGCTGACTTGCAGGGCCTGGGACTACCCCCCCGACAGGACAAGGACCTGCACCTGACTCCCCACCAGGAGGGAGGGACAAGGGGAGACACAGTTGCAGGAAAGATGCGGGTAGGACTGTGAGGGAGAACACCCCACCCTCCACTTTCCAGGGACACGGCAGCCAGCAAGTGCTCGTTACCCGCTGAGGGCCAGCCCCAATCCACCCAGGAGGCCTCAGTGCGGTGGGGCGGGATCGGGCCTGGCCTGGTGAATTCTCAGGCCGCGGGCGCCCCCTGCAGCCAAACAGGGGTGCGGCCAGCGGAGGCTGGGACTTCTCCCAGCACCGGCCTCCTGATATTGGTGGGTTTTCCCTTCCATCACCTGCGGCCCCGGGCGGGAGCTGGGCCAGGTTGGCCCCTGAAGTTATTATTGTTGCCCCATTTTAAGAATGAGGAAAATGTTTGGTGTCTTGCCAAGGTCACAGAGTCGGGCAGTGTGGGGTCCTGAACTCAGGTCTCTGCAGATCCTGACTTCTCCCTCCCAGGAAGCCTTTGTCTTGCCCTTCAGAGCCTCCTCCCCGCCCCACACCAGGGCAGGCAGGCTCAAGTGGCAGCTATAAAAGGTCCGAGGGGTATTTAATGGCATGGGGTGGGGGGTAAGCACTCCTACCGGGGGAGTGGGCAAAGGCAGGACACAGAGAGGTCCCCATGTGGGGCTCAGGAGTTGGGGCTCAGACGCAGGTGGTCCTGGCCTCACTGGGTGTGCAAGGGCCAGAGGAAGGCTGAGCCTGGCCGGGGGTCTCCCAGAGCAGGGGCAGCACTGGGCCCATGTGTTGCTAAACACAGGACAAGGCATGAGTGCTTCTCTAACCCCCATCCCACGCCAGGCCCCCTGCTCCCTGGAGACAGAGCTGAGGGAATGGGCTGGTGCCACAGGGTATCACTGCAAAGATGGGGTGCGCGGTGGATTAGGCACCCTCCACTTTGCCCCGCATGCTACTCCATGTGTCCCATACGAGGCTTGCAGCCCACATTTCCTTTAATAAAGAAATCCTCCCCCAAATTACAAACCACTGGAGTAGCCTCAGTTCTCATGAAGAGCTGGAGAAACTGAGGCTAAGAAGTGCAGAAAGGTTAAGTGACTGGCCCAAGGTCAACCAGCAAGTTAGTGGCACATTCTGGAGGCATATTCTAGAGGCCATGACCCTACTCTGGTTGCCCTTCTGGGTCTAGGACCCTCCTCCCCAGGCTCTGAATGCTCCAGTTCAGGGGCTTTCCCCCAGTCCACACAATCTGAAGGCGCACACACACATACGCACACACACTCCTCACTTCCTGGAGAGCCGCAGCCACACCACTCTCTGGGGGACCATTTCCTGGTTTGTAGAGACTCAGAGGCTGGGGCTGGGGGCCACGGAGGCCCAGGGGACCAAGAGCAGCGGGGCACCCTGGGGAGTGCGGGTTCAGCATGGGCTTAACGTTGGGCCCGACCCCTCTCTGCAGTTGGACAGCTTCAGCCATGTACCTGGGGAGCAACAGGCCAGATGCAAAGGGCCATTGCCCTCCTTGGCCTGAGTCCCCTGCCACCCTCAGGTTGGGAAGCAAACAGCCCAGGGCTTGGCCCTGCAGGGAGCCGAGGCCGGTTGCGCCCAAGCTGTGGCGACCTCCACTCCATTTATTGGGGAAAGAACCCACAAAGGCAAGGATGGGGGAGGTTCCAAGAGGTAGGTGCCCTGGAGGAAGCCCCAGAGGAACAGAAGCAGTGAGCGTGAGGGCCTAGGGGCTGTGGTGAGGGGCCGGTGGGGGGGGAACCATTCACCCCACCTGCCAGCCCCAGGCTCTTGGGTCCTAGCGGTGCACAGATTGTTAAATACCAGTTGCGGACACAGCCTTGGTTGTAGGGGCTGTATTCCTGAAGGTATCTATACTGAAGGAGGATGGAAACAGGAAGAGGAGCTGAGAATCAACAGGAATGGGGTGGGCTTTCACCCAGTGGCCCTCCCTGAGCTGGTCAGCTCAGCTGGGGCTCAGCCCAGGGCTGCAACAAGACCCCAAGGATGGAGAAGCCAGCAGAGTTGAGAGAGGCCTCCCCACTTCCCAGGCTCTCAGGCAGAGCGGCCTCCCTAAGCTCACTTCTGAGCGGCTCTCTCCCTTGTGCTCGCCTTCTCCTCCCTTCTCAGGCATCCCCCATCGCCTGGTACTCCCCACCCCCAGCTCCCATCCCCACTGTTGCACACATCTCCCTCTTCTTTCTCCATCGGCCACACACACCCTCCTGCTGCCTCCTTTCGGGATTTTCCTTTTGCTGCCAAACTGCTCCAAAGACGGTCCCCCTGCTGGGCCTTCTCCACTTTCCCACCTCTATGTTTTTTTCTAAACTTGAGTCTTCGCTGAGCTTCACTATCTAGAAGGGCATCGTATGGGCCCAGTCACACTTTCCCAACCACAATCATATGGCGCAGGACAATCTGGGCTGCAGACCTCAAGCACATGGTATAGTGAAAGTCAAGTCCTCCCCTGGACACCTTTTTTTTGGTCTGCGTCTCACTCTGTCCCCCAGGCTGGAGTGCAGTGGCATGCTCACGACCACCGCAGCCTGAACCTGCTGAACTTAGGCAATCCATCCGTCTCAGTCACCCAAGTAGCTGGAACCACAGGCATGCACCACCACACCAGGCTAATTTTTTGATTTGTTGTAGAGACGAGTTCTTGCCAAGTTGCCCAGGCTGGTCTTGAACCTTTGGGCTCAGGCAATATTGCCGCCTTGGCCACCCAAAGTGCTGAGATTACAGGCGTGAGCCATCCTGCCTGGCCCCCTGGACACTCTTGTCTGGGTTCTCCCCCTCCCTGTTCCTTTTCACCTTCCCACGCCACTCGTCTGCCTCGCCCGCTCCTCCTCCCCAGGACAGGCTAAGCCTCCTCTCCCCACAAGAGCCTTGGCTATCAAATGTTTTGCCACAGTAAAATGGCTTACAGTATCTCGCTTCCCACCAACTTCCCCCTGCACCCCATGGCCCCATCACAAAGACTGCAATCTTCAACATGATTCCCCACCAAAAGGAACCAGGACTCATGTGGGCAGCTGGTACCTGAGGGAGGAAAGGTCAGGATGGCTCTGGACTATCCCAAAGAGCAACACTCAACTGGGCACGGTGGCTCACGCCTGTAATCCCAGCACTTTGGGAGGCAGAGGAGAGAGGATTGCCTGAGCCCAGGGGCTCGAGACTAGCCTGGGCAACTTGGTGAGACCTCTTTGTCTCTACAACAAATCACAAAAATTAGCTGGGCGTGGTGGCATATGCCTGTAGTTCCAGCTACTTGGAAGGCTGAGGCGGAAGAATCGCCAGAGCCCAGCAGGTCGACGCTGGGGTGGCCGTGAGTGTGCCACTGAACTCCAGCCCGGGCGCCAGAGTGAGACTCCAACTCAAAAAAACAAAAAACAAAAAAGCAACACTCATCGTCGCACGATTTGAGGTTCTGCCTAGTTTAAGCTGTTTAAAGTATGTAAAGAACTGGTATCCATTAGGGATTTTAATAAAATGTTTAAGAGTTTGATTACACTTATAGAATTTTAAAATTTAGAGAAATTTTTTTTTTTAGTTGGGTAGGGGTCTCACCCTTTTGTCCAGGCTAAAAGTGCAGTGGCACAATCATGGTACACAGCAGCCATGCCCTCCTGAGCTGAAGTGATCCTCCTGCCTCAGCTCCCTGAGTAGCTAAGACCACAAGTGCATGCCACCATGCCTGGCTAATTTTTCTAAGGTTTTTTTTTTCATAGCGACCAAGTCTTGCTATGTTGCCTAGGCTGGTCTTGAACTCCTGGGCTCAAGCAATCCTCCTGCCTTGGCCTCCTGAGTAGCTGGGATTACAAGCATAAGCCACAGCACTCAGACTGAGAAATAAATTTTGGTTAGATGTATATAAAATATTTTAAAATGTTGATTGTATATGAGATAGAGAAGAATGCTTAACGATAATTGTTAATAAATGTATAAGAATTGGCCAGTAGATCTGAGTACTTCCTCCCCTCACACAGAATCCTCTCACCAGTAGTGCAGAAGCACCTGGAATGGCCCCTCTCCCTGGGGATATTGCTCCAGCACCCTCATACTCCACAGGACCAACACCAACACGGGCATCATATTGCCCCATCTCTTGCCCAGTGACCTGCTGCCTCCCCTTGCCCCCGGCGACCCCAGGATCAGGGCATTATCAAGCTTCTCTCTCTTTCCTCCTCAGAGTGTTATTGATTCATCTGTTCACTTGTTTATTCAAAAACGAGCACTATTCACAATAGCAAAAACATGGAACCAACCATGCTGCCCATCGAAACTGGACCGAATACAAAAAGATGTGGTACATATACATGAAGGAATATTATGTATCTATGAAAAAGGACAAAATTATGAACTTTGCAGCAACTTAGATGGATTTAGAGTCTATAATATTCAGTGCTCTATCACAGAAACAAAGAACTGAGTACCACATGTTCTCACTCATAAGTGGACCCTGAGCATTTACCGTAATACTATAAGAAAGGGACTGGCAAGTGGAAACTGCCTGGGGGGTTGGCCATCTAACATCGATGAGGGTACCTGATCTCAAACCAGGCAAAGTGGGAACCAAAGGGAGGCCCAAATGTTACCTGTACTATGACCACCTGTACGATGACTAACCCTAACCCTGACCCTAACCCTGATCCTGAATTGTACCCCACATCTTTAAAATAAAATAAAGTACTCCCCCTCCAAAGACATAATCTGGAGCCTCAGGCATCGGGCTGGGGACTGGGGACACACTACACGCAGCACAGTCAGTGTCAGTTGTCAGGGCGATGAGGGCAGCACGGAGAGGGGATCGAGGGAGAAGAGGAGGCAGCAAGGCCAGCTTGCTCAGGCACAGGCCGAAAGCTGAGCCCTGGGAGACGGGGGACGGACCACCTCAGGGGTCACCTCAGGGCCAGAGGCCTTTGTGTGCGGTCTGGAAAGAGTTGCCTGAGGACCATCTGCTGGCTTTGGACACTTGGCAAATTTGGACACTTTGGACACTTTGCATCAGAGTGACAGTGAGGACGAGGGCCAGCTGAAGTGGGCTGAGGAAGGTGAAGAATGGAGAGAACTGGCACAGCCAACTCTTTCGGCAGATACGGCCATGCTGGAGAGGACTGCAGCGGGTGGGGTAGAAGCCCATGATGTCAGGAAGGATTTTCTTTTTTTTATTTATTTTTTATTTTTAGAGGGCCTGTCTCACTCTATCACCCAGGCTGGAGTACAGTGGCACAATTGCGGCTCACTGCAGCCTCGGTTTCCCGGGCTGCTCCTGCCTCAGCCTCCAGAATAGCTGGGACCACAAGTGTGCACCACCACTCCCAGCTAATTATTTCATTTTCATTTTTTGTAGAGACAAGGTCTTGCTATGTTGCCCAGGCTGGTCTCAAACTCCTGGGTTCAAGCGATTCTCCCACCTTGGCCTCCCAAAGTGCTGGGATGACAGGTATGAGCCACTGGACCCGGCCTTTGCTTTGCATTTAGGATGAGAAAGACATGAACACGTGTAAATGGTGAGGGGAAGGAATGGTAATTATGTACCTGCTGCTATTCTGTGTTTAACTTCTGCTGCTCCCTTTCACAGATGGGGAGAGTGACCACTGGGTGGCTGAGTAACACACCCGAGATCTCCCTGCTGGCACGTTGTGAAGCTGTGATTTGAACGTGTGTGCCCTGGCTCCAGAGCCCTTGCTATCAACCACTAAGCAAATGACCCTAGGAGCTGCAGGCAGGGGGTGGAGGTCGGGGTGGAATGAGAGTCAGGCATGGGAAGGATGCTTTCAGTAGGTGCTGCAGGTAATGGGAAAGAACGCTGTCTGGGGGATCACAGAGTGCATGCCACACTGTGGTACCCTGAGGCTGGAGACCCTGGAGTGGGAGGGCCACATTCTGGGCAGAGGAGATGGGGTAGGCCTGTGGCCTGACCTCGGGCTGGAGAAACCACAGGATGTGGGCAGGGAGGAGGCCGTCCAGGAGAGGCTGAAATGATGCCCTGAGGCTGGAAAGGGAAGACCTGCAGACCAAGGGGACTGCTGAGGAAGGGCGGAGCCAAGGAATGGCAGCGAATATGGGTGTGGTGGAGGGACTGTGTGGTGACCGAGAGGACGGGAGATGGTGGGCAGAGGGTGCCTCTCTCCTTGCAGCTGTCCAATGTCTGCAGCCCTTCCCTCATCAGGGCTGCTCTAAAAAAGTATTTAGATAAGTCACTGTCCTGCTGAAGGAAACCCATGCAAGGATTCCACTCTTACCACTCCTGCTCAACACAGTATGGGAGGTCCAAGACAGTGCAATAAGGAAAAAGAAAGAAGCAAGCAAGCAAGCCAGGCATGATGCTCACACCTGTAATCCCAGCACTTTGGGAGACTGAGAGGACTGCCTGAGCCCAGGGGTTTGAGACCAGCCTGGGCAACTTGGCGAGACCTCGTCTCTACAATAAATCAAAAAATTAGCTGGGCATGATGGCATGCTCCTGTAGTTCCAGCTACTTGGAAGGCTGAGGTGGAAGGATCTCCTGAACCTGGCAGGTTGAGGCTGTGGTGGCTGTGAGAGTGCTACTGCACTCCAGCCTAGGCAACAGGGAGACTCCAACTCAAGGAAGGAAGGAAGGAAAGAAGGAATAGGAAAAAAGATTGGAAGGGAAGAAGTGAAACTGTCCTTTTAACAGATGGCATGCTTTTCTATGTAGAACAGACAAAAATGCTGTTAGAACTCCTAAGTGAGTCTAGCAAAATTGCAGGATTTAAAACCAATATACAAAAATCATTGTATTTTCTTATAAAACACACAATAGTACATAAAACCATGAACTATTTAGCTATAAATCTAATAAAATGGATGCAAGATCTATATGCTCAAAATTAAAAAATAAAAATGAAAGACATCAAAGAAGATCCAAATAAATGGAGAGGTACAGTATGTTCATGAATTCAAAAAGGCAATCTTGCTAAACTGCCAATTCTCCCCAAACTGATCTATAGGTTCAATAAAATCCCAGTGAAAATCCTAGTCTATTTTTTGGTAGAAGTTGACACGATGACTTTAAAATTTACATGGAAAATCAAAGACGTTAGAATAAGCAAAAATAACTTTGAAAAAAAAGAGAACAAAGTTAAGTAACTCACACTGCCTGATTTCAAGACTTACTATAAAGCAACACTAAATAAGACAGTATGATATTGATGGAAAAAAACAGTCCAGAATACGCCCACATACGAGAGGGTCGCCCAAAAAACAATTTCTTTAGAAAAAAAAAAATTGTGTAGTCCTTCCTACATGTTAAAACTTCAGTCCTCTCCAAAGTACTCTCCGCGTGATGCAATACACCAACCGAGATGCTTTTTCCACCGCTCAGATTTGTTTTTGGACTCGTCCGTTTTGATGTCTTTGACCTCTGCTGCCCTTAGTTTCACCCCTTCACCCCACACATCACCGATTTCAGGCTCCTCATCAACACAAGTCCAGGATATGGCCTCGCTCACCTCTGTCCCCCGCCCTCGAAATCACACTCGCAGCCCAGCAAACGGCCGGCTCTCGAGGCCGCGCAGCCAGGAGGGAGAGGGACCACCGACCTCCAGCAGGAGGCGACATTTGAGCGGGGTCCGGAGGGACTTACCGAGGCGCCACCAGGGCCAAGGGCCGTGGAGAAAGAGCGGCCGAGGTCCC